GAGAACCTTGTAAAGCATCACATTTAAAAGTGTGAATTAAGCCTTTAAATGATATGTCTGTCTTTTTATAGCCATTACTGAGGTGCCTCACCATCAAACACTTTGTTGTGGTCAGAATGTAAAAATCCTAACGAGTGTCACATTTAAAAGCATTAGTCGCCGTCTCCTCGTATATCTGTGGCAAGCCTCACAATTAACTGTGAGCTGTTGATTATCACCCCCATTATTCCAGCCGAGATATGTGCTGAGTGGTGATGACAGATCTGTTATCTCTGTTGGCCATTAGCTTTAGTGTGAAGTCATTAGAAGATGTAATTAACTCCTATCGTTTCAGAAGAACGAGTCTGAAGAAATCCGACCAAGATGTACGGAGCTTTGACTTGTGCAGGTTATGTTAGAGAAGTTCAAAAGGTTCTGTTGTGAGACAATAAAACTGAGGCTGTCTTCACTTCAACAAGTCTGTTTTTTTTTTCAGTTCAATACAAACAGCTCACAAAAAATTATAAATTATGTCCAAAATTTTAAAAATGAGTTTTTGAGTCACAAGTAATAAAGAAAACCCATCATTTCTTCAAAATACAGTCATTTTCATCACTTATATGAGTTTCTTCAGGCAAAAAATATACTAAATTATAATGTTTTTATTTTCACACCAAGCACTGCTATGCTATTAAAAATGATTTTTCATTGGAAACTTTCAAGTGTTATTTTACAGTAAATAACTTTCTTAATAAACTAAAAACTAATTAATAAAAAAGATGAAGTCTATTTGATGAAATAATACAACGAAATTCCAAACATCCTGGCAGATGAGCTGAAGTTTATTAATTATTAWAATGAATTAAATAATTAACTATTTAATTTCCATTTGGAATTAATAATGTGGTTTTGAATTGAGCTGAATTATTTATATAAAATAAAACAGCTCTCTGAGGTCAGATCAGGAGGGATTGTCAGAGAACTCAGTCAGCTGTGAGAAAATATCATCTCCCCCAAATCTCCTTGTTTTAGTCAGTAAAACTGTAAAAAGTGAAACTAGAAAAGAAGCAAAGTGTACATCAAACTGGCTGTCCAAAAGTCTCAACCAATTTAAAACTCAAGAAAGAAAAACTTCTTCACTTTGACATAAAAAATGTTTTTGTTTTTAACTGGGCTCTTCAGATTTGCAATTTAAAAAATTCTCCAACAGTTCAGAGAAGAAGAAATCTCACTCATTGTGAAGTCCAAACCTTAGCTTCTACTGCAAATTATCATCTAACTCTTTGTTTTTTAGAGTAACATCTGAAAGAAACCAACAAACAAAGCTCTATGAGTACTTTATTGTTTAATTTTAGCTTATTTTATGGAGAGAAAACTCTGTTTTTTGTTGTCATTTTTTTGATAGCAAAGAAAAATCTGAGTACAAGTCGCGAATGAAATCAAACCAGCCTGTTTTATAAATTGTTCATAATACATGAGTTTTTCTGTTTAAATAGATTACTGCTGTGATATATTTACTATGATTAAAAGTCATGACATTATGTTAGACAGTATTTTCCTGTAAAATCAGGGTACTTTTGATCATGACGTGTTGTTTCAGCACCCACAAGCATCTCCTCAGACAAAGTTTCAATAACATCACGACTTCTGTTTGTGTCTCAAGTTGCAGAATGTTTGTCCTGCAGCTCACATGTTGATCGTCTGGGAAAATTTCGTGTCTCTCGGTTGCTGGATTACTGTTATCGTGCAGCTGCAGTCGGGTTATCTCCCCTCGTGGTTCTCGCTGCCGTCTTGTTGCTTCACCAGCTGATAGATTTGGTGTTTTGCAGATTTAGCCTGGCGGCGGCTGGCTATGCAGATGGGGAGGACTGACCTGCTGCGACCTTGGAAGAGTGCCCCGGCAGAGAACCACGACAACCTCAGGATGTGCTGAATGTGCTGCAATGCAGCAGAGCGGCACAGGGAGCTGCATGCTTTCACACACCCAAGCGCACACGCACACACACACACAAACACATAAACTGCAGCACTATATCATGAAGCAGCAAAGCATGCACAGATGTATGCAAATCAATAGTAGAACTACTCACAGTGTGGTCCTGGATGAGCAGGCAATGACTGCACACACACATTCACTTTTTTTCTCACACATTTGTATCCTAATTGTTATAAAAAAGAGAACCTTAAGAAATGACTCAAACGGACTAAAACTCAAACCTGACGTCTCAAAAGTAGCACATCAGTTATMCTCCACTTACACATATTTCTCTGACACCTACAAACAGTTTTTTTTACCTTTATTTGGAGCTGCATCCCTCAGTTCCAGCAGCCACTCTCCCAGCAGAACATCCTGGAGGTGCACAACACGCCACAGCAGTGCCAAGATGTGTAATTCAAATACCAGCACAGACCCTCATTAAACACAGATTCCGGGGCCAATAAACAGGCCCTAATGGCTCTCTGCAAATCACAACACATCAGCTTCCACTGGTTACAGGTTTTAATAGGACGGTGCTACATTTGATGGATTTTCTGCAGGTGTTTTCACACCTGAGCTGAACTGCTTTTATCCTTAACAAATGCAGACAAGTTTAGTGACATCTAGC